CCAAGAACCATCTCTGGCAGTTTCACAATTAACTCAGGTGAATAAAACTCCCCTGCACTCATGGAAAGCTTGAAAGGAATCAGGTGTTCCCTTACCTGCAGGGGTGATCTATAAAATCCAAAAAATCCATGAATTGTTATTATAACTGGGTTATTAAAAGACAAATCCTCTCTCTCATGTAAAACCAAATGCATTCTTGAAAAGAATAAAAAAAAAAAAATCCCAAAACAAAATGAAATCTATAATGAAACAAAACAACAAAAAAATCACTAAAAAACCCAAACAACCATTTTATCTGTATGAAACCTTTTTAAGTTACTGCACATTCATAACACCTACCTTCACTCAACAAATACTGCTCTCAAAATTATTGATTTTCACTAAATATTCTTTTGACATACTCAACGTTTTCACAATATTCCAGGAGAATGGTTTCAATCATTTTTGTGTTAATATTGGGGTTTTTTTGCTATCATTTTTTCTTCTGTAGCTTTATAGAGAACCTGACAATTTCCATGGTTGGTCAAAGTGATATGAGTGAGGCATAAAGAATAAAGGCCAGTAGAGTCCCCTGTCACACCACCACAGTAATGAACACGCCTGTCATGCATCACAAAACTACACAGCAGAAAATCCCACAGAAATGGATAATTTCACGGAAAATACTAACTCTGCACCTTTGAGACTAGAGATTTTTGTCTATTCAGGATGCACAAGGTCTGCTGAAGTCCATTCATCAAAAGACAAAGGTAATAAATGCAAAGAAAGTAATTTGTAATTTGCTATTTCCATGTCAGATCTTAACCCCGTGGAGATTCACAGCATGCCTAACTTTAATTACCGAGACAGTGGCATGGAGAGGGAAGGGAAAAAAGGACTGGAAGCATTCAACTAGTAGCAATTCAAAGCCCTGAGTTGGCTAATATTTAAAAATGTTACCAAAACTGAGGTTACAATCAAAGGCATGTGTTAGTGATTGCAGGCTCAGGGCCACAGCTCAAAATGAAACAGATCTTTAAAAGTTAATGCTAACAACATTTCCATTTGTGATTCATTTTTTATCCCCCAGTGTCAATGACACACACAAAAAAAAGAAGAAAACAAAACAAAACAGATGTGGAGGTTGCTTCTTCCCACATCATCATGGTTTTTCCAAGAAGGCTGTGACTGTCTGAGTATCAATAGCTGTAAAACACACCTGAACATTCAGGTTTAGAGCATTGTTTTATAAACAGTTGTGCAAATGTTTTCTACACACACCCAAAGCAGTGCCCACTGACTTTGGTGAAACTTTCAATGACTTTATGCCTAAATTCCTCCATGTGGTTGCTCAGGGCTGCACTAACAGCTGAAGTTCATGGCAAAACAAAGTTCAGATGACAGCTATCACCTAACTCGGAATTCAGGGCAAAAACCTGAAATTCCTAGGCAGAGTTAAATCAAAAGCTGCATAAAACAATGTCATTGTTTTGGATGAATAAATTGGGGGACGAATCAGAGTTCAAATTAAAATGGCATCAGTTACATCCCCTCCCCAAAAGCAGGAAATCTAGTTTCTTCTGGTTTGAAGAATTTTAATGGAAAAACTAGAGAACGAGCACTGAAAACAAGGAATTAGACTCTCATATACCAAATTTTCACAGTTAAAAATATACTTTGAATGGAGATCATGCACACTGCAGTGTAAGCAACACAACTCCAAGGTGTTAAACATTTTTTCTTTCTGGCCATCAGCCCCAGAGCAGAGGCAGGAGTCTGGAGGGGTCACACACCAAAGGGCTTCCTTCTTCTGTCTGGCATAGCCAAAAACTGTCTTTGAAAAAATCTTGTGCATTGATCAGTCATTCACTGCATGAAAAGAGATGCAGGAGTGGTAACCAGGAATATAAGAGCAACAAGTGGCAGACACTGAAAGCAAAGTTAGCAAAAGCTTTATTAGTGCAATCTTTGTCATGTGGACCTCAAGTCTTATCTCCCCACAGTAACTGAAGAGTTCTTATATGTTTAATCTGTTTTGACCCTTGGGGCTTCAATTATTTGACTTTAGATGTTAGATTTTAATAAGCTGTCACCCACAGGGGAAAAAAAATGCAGTAATTAATGTGACTGATTTGCCATATACAGCTGGACTATGGACAGAAAAAAATTAACCATATTTCAAGAATTTAGTTGTCACCAAGTGGAAAACTTGAGCACTTTTTTCCATCTGTGCATTTCACAGCAGAAGTAACTTCAGATTAATCTTCCCTCTCTATTACTGCTGTATATAACTAGCACCTAATCATGACTGGGTGTTGCTGCTCGTGGGGTGCCACCTCCCTCCAAATAAATCTAATGGGACGCTCTGTGCGCTTTCAGAATTACAGAATCACTCAGAAACATGCACTCAGAGCTATGAGAAGGCACAACCCACCACCACAGGCTCCGTGAGTGTGTGACAGCACAATCCAGCTGCACAGCTCAAGCCCAAAGCCAATTCCATCCCCACGGGCTCAGCAGCCACAGCCTGCTCCAGCACAGCATCTCCTTACCTGGACCTAATAATGCTGCACCCCCCATGGACTGTGAATCACGAGGAGATATTGGAAGTCTCCCTCGTGCCTTGGAAAATACTCTCTAAGCTCTTTGCAGTCTCCACTGCTGGCTCGCTGAGAGGAAACCACCAACTCACTGCAAGCCTGACCCAGGAGAGCTTCCTTCTGCTCAGAGGGCAGGGGTTGCAGCGTTTCCATGGGTATTCCAGGGAAAGGAGAACGGCCACGCAATGCTGATTAAGTATTTCCAGTTGCTAACAACAAAAATGGTCGTTTTTATGTTGTCCCATGTAAGCAACTTTTGTAGCTAACATATAGACATTTCACAATCACAAACGAGAAGAGTGACAGTCAATAGGAAGGGAGGAGGACCACATGTTTTATGATGGAGATGAGTAATTAAAATATGATCTATGCTGCAAAGGCATGCGAGATCCACCATTTGGTTAATATTTCAGCAGGCACAATGCGGAGGAGCAATACTTTTACCTTCAGAGCTTCACCCAAGGTAAATAAAGCAAACTCCACGCCACTCTGGAGGGTACAAGATTCACCAGCCAAGGCAAAGCACAATTTCTGAGTGGGAGGATTGGTTCTCAAACAACATCCTTGAGAAAAACCTGTTACACCCATTCTTCTGTTCCCTGCTACTCTCTGGCTTGAAACTATGCTTTAGTGGAACGTGCAACATCTCGCTTTTCGTGGATACAATGCGGCCCTACTGAGGTCACGGTGGGGGGCAGGAGCATCTTAAATTATTCCTCAAAATGCCACGACAACCTGTTTTCCAAGGTGTGCCCATGTCACTCCACACTAGTGATGAGTAAGGGAGTGCGTGTCACGGCGATGAGACGGGCAGAAGGGGAAAAGACGCCAGAGAAAGTTACTGGGGAGAATGAAAGGGCAGAAGAGCGGGGGAGAGCACCAAACAAACAGCGGGCATTCAGCGGGATTATCCCACCCCAAAGCTGCTCTTTGCCCGCTACCAGCAACAGAGATGGAAAAGCCGGCTGAACCAGCGGGGAAAAAAATCCCCCAGCGTAAGGACTGAAAGACGAGTCACCTGGCGGAAGGTGAGGCAGGAGCGGCAGCAGGAGGAGGAAGAGGAGGAGGAGGGGGGCAGCCGCATGGACGGTGCCCTCCGGAGGGATGCCCAGCCCAGCGGGCAGGTGCGGGCAGGTGCGGCGGTACCGGCGGCAGGAGAGCACACACACACACACACACCAACACACACACACACACCAACACACACACACACACACACCTACACATCGAGGGCTTTCTGGCTGTACAGCCAGGCGGGGGGAAGCTGCAGCAGCCACCACCGTGTCCGGGGGGCTCTGGAGGGATTTCTGAGCCCGCCTGTCCGAGCGCAGGGCGGCAGCGCCCGGGAATGGACGGAGGGCAGCGCTCGCAATCCTCCGTGTGCCGGCTGCCCGGGCGGGTTTTGGGGTGACGGAACAACCCGAGGGGGGCGATCCCATCCCGCCCCACCAACCCCTTACCTTGCCCCGAGTCCTCCTCCCGGCCCGCGGGGCTGCGGGCAGGGCCGGGCGCGGGGGCTCCGCTCCGCTCCGCGCCGCCAGCAAAGTGCGGGAGCGGGGCGGGCAGCGGAGCAGCCGCGGGGAGAGGAGCGGAGAGCGGAGAGCGGAGCCGAGCTCCCTCTGCCGGGCACCCGGCCTGCCCCAGCCCCGGCTCCAGCCCCAGCCCCAGCCCCGGCCCGCGGAGCTCCAGCCCCGGCTCCAGTTACAGTCCCGACCCCAGCCCGCGGAGCTCCAACCCCACCTCCAGCCCCGGCTCCGGTTCCATCCCCAGCCCCGACCCGCGGAGCTCCAGTCTCGGCTCCAACCCGCGGGGCTGGATCCAACCCGTAGAGCTCCAGCCCCGACTCCGGCCCCAGCTCCAGCCCCAGCTCCGACCCGCGGAGCTCCAGCCCTGGCTCCAGCTCCAGCCCCGGCTCCGACCTGCGGAGCTCCAGCCCCGGCTCCAGCTCCAGCCCCGGCTCCGACCTGCGGAGCTCCAGCCCCGGCTCCAGCTCCAGCCCCGGCTCTGACCCGCGGAGCTCCAGCCCCAGCTCCGGCTCCAGCCCCGGCTCTGACCCGCGGAGCTCCAGCCCCAGCTCCGGCTCCAGCCCCGGCTCTGACCCGCGGAGCTCCAGCCCCAGCTCCATCTCCAGCCCCGGCTCCGACCCGCGGAGCTCCAGCCCCGGCTCCAGCTCCAGCTCCAGCCCCGCGGGCTCTGCGCGCTGCGGAGCCCCTTCCCTGTCTCCCTGCCTCCCTTCTCCCGCTCCCTCACCGTGCAAAGGTGCTGAGAGCAGCGCCCCAGAGCCCGGCTGGAACGTGGGAGTTTAAAGTCATCGTAAGCGTTTACAAAAAAAAAAAAAATAAAATACAAGGCCACACACAAAACCTACCATCACTCCAAAGCAACATCCTTCCCCCGAAGAAATAAGTGTAGCTAAACCACCTTTGGAAAGACTGATCTAGCAGAACAAAAGTCTCCCGTCTTTGCCTGAAATCGCGGATGAGATCTCCCAGCTGTTTATGTTGTTTCCATCTGGCAGCGCGTTCCTCCCCGCTCTGACATGTCACACGTGGCTTTGGCTCGGGCAGGGGAATGTCCCTGTCGGCACGATTGCAGGTAGCCAAAGTCCTCACCTGCACTGTTAGCCCTGCCGGGATTGCTATTATGAGCCACTAAATTCCCCTCCTAAAACAGGGCTGTTCCACCAGAATCTGTTTGCACTGATTTCTCTTTCAAATAAGTTTTTGCTTTATGTGACTCCAGAGAAAAGCTAGAAAGCATAAATCTTTTGTTATATGAAAATAACCTCGATTCGGGAGGGGGGGGGTGTATAGGAGAGCTAGTCTGATTTTTGAGGTTCTGTTCCTGATTTTTTTATAGGATTCAATTGCCAATCCAGAAAGATTTACACACCTGCTTTAATTACCTTCCCGAGACTCCTTCTAGGCTTCACCGAGATCCCTTCGGAAGATCAGAATCATGTCTGGACCAAACAGCTCTTTCCACCGAGCAGTTATCCACACGGAGCAACAGGTCCTGTGGGCTACAAACTTTCTATGATCCCAGGCCCCCTCCAAGAAACCTGCAGAGGAAAAGGATAAACTAACGAAGGAGCAGCTGCTTGCTGAAATTTCCACTCAGTTCCAAGAAATGAGACTTGGCAGGTCCTCGCTTTTTATAACACTCCGTGACTCATTTGCAGGAGCAGGTGAAGTCAGAGCCATCCCTGCCAGAGTCCTGCCCCTGAAGGCTTCACCAGGAGGATTTTCCCGATTTTGAAAAAAAAAAAAAATAAAAATAAAAGTGGGCAAGATGATATTGCTCAGCTACTGTTTGCAGCAGTTTGGTTGCTGAATTTCTGAATCTCAAGCGTTGCTATTCCATCCTTGACCTGGTGTTTGCCAGCAAATCTTCCTGAAAAATAAAGTCTGAATTCTACCAAGGGTGATATTTTGCCAGGTTCGGGCTGCAGGCAGGGGCAGCAGGCAGGCGTGGAGCTCACTGTGGGATCCTGAGAACCAGGCAGGAGAGAGAAACCCGAGCCTGCAGATCAGGCTGGGAGAGGTGGGGCCTCACTCCACAAGTGCTTAGGAGTTCACCTTAACTCTGCTTAGGGAAAAGAAAAAAAAAAAAAAAAAAAAAAAGAGAGAAAGAAAAGCAGCTCAGCCAACTTCCCCTTCCTG